TTTAGCTATAAAAAACATATAGTGGTGATTTTAAAATGAAATTGTCACAGACTGTATTTTAATTACAGAGTATAGTGGAATATTTTTTGTTAGTTGTGTTCTAAAGTAATTGAACCAGTCTGTGTGGACTTTGACGAAAAAGAGACAATTACTTTAAGCTCTAGATACAAATGTGATAATCAACTGTGTTATGATCATTTGTATACATACATTTGACTTGTTTTAATATAATATTTGAAAACAATTGGACTATGTGCTGTTTGTTTATTGTTGAAATTTATCACCAACAAGTCACAGAAACCTACTGTAAAGAATCTGGCCCATACTTATAAAACCTGACAACAGTGACAGTACAGACAGTCTTATAAAATCAAAACTGCCATTTTTACTAATGCATAGGAAAGAAATGTTTGAGAACAAACTACACATATCCCTTGTAGTAAAGGTGTTGCAGAGGGCCATGTCTAATGAACACCAGCTGTAAATGGGTTTTGAGAATGTTTCTATGCTAGCTGTGATTGCAAACATAGCAAGCACTAAGGTGAGCTTGCTTTTAGCAATTTTATGGGGACTCGTGACATTTTAACAATGTTTATTTGCTGGCCACGTTTGCGAAGATAGCAAGCACTATGACAAATACACAATTATAGATTATATGGACACTAACATTCTTGTCACCAAAGGATTACTTTGACCACAGTATTGCAAAGTCTAGGTGTGAATTATTTATGGTGACAAGGCAAATTTTATTTTTTTGTTTGTGAAGATTAAATTCCATACTATATTTGGGAGTGTATTATATTCGGAAAATTATGGTAGCTCCTTGTGAGCATACCTCGTGGAAATTTTTTTTTTATTATTTATTTCATTATTTAATGTAATAAGTTTCTAATTTTTACATTTTAGTTACCTTTATAACAATATGAAAAATACAGATAAAAACTGAGAAATTTAGTACTTATGTTAGGCGTCATTTCTTTCTTTTTTTTTTGTTGTTGCTGTTGACCTGTCAGTGAAAGTTAAGTCCACTAGTACATCAAATAATTATTTATTTTAAATATGCACTTAAGAACACACAATAATAAAATGTACAAAGTAAACAATGTCCTGTAGCTGTTATAACTTAACTAGCTTTCTAAATAAAGCATATATATTATACTGTATTGAGTAGTTTACTTTAAACTCGGGACATTTAGGGATGATAGAAAAAATTGAAAATGGGTAAGTTGGAGCAAACAACTATGTTATAAAGACAAGGGGAATTTAGAATTTATGTAAATATTTTCTTCAGAAATTAAGACATTAAAATTTATATAATAATAGGATTTGATTTATTAACTGTTTTGATGCCAATTTACTCGTATTCATTGATAATAAAGTACTTAAAATTTGAAAGTAGCTGTGTAAAAAGCTGTGCATGTACACTTTTACCTACCAGCATTGAAAGGGTTAAGGATCTCTGACACATTTACAGTGTAAGTTTAATACAGTAAGAACATAGTGGACATCATTTGATGAAGTCAGGCTGGTATAATTTTCAGTTTAACAGAACTACAGGTAATGTCCAGCTGGTAATTGCTGTATAAATACTCTGTGAATTTTTCTTTTCCTTATTAAAACTTAATTTCAGCAAAAAGAGAAAGAATCTATGAATGGCTTAGAGGTTTAATCTGTTATTCAATTCACTGGTACATCTGCAATAGTCTATAGTTTGCCCCATTATGGCTTCTCAGTATTGCTTTGGAGAGAAAATAAGAGATACAGTATGCTTCTATATTGTGGAGGAATGCAAAAAATTTGTCGAATTGGATGTAAAGCTTTACATCAAATCCTACAAATTTCTGTAGTCAGTATATATTGAGAATGATATTGCATGGTTTATTTTATCTTTGATACAGGTTTTTGTTTCTTTATAACTGGTGAATATACATATGTATATGAATGACACATAACAGTTAACGGTATGCATATTTTATATGCAAAATTTTTACTTTGAATGAATTTTTTTGTGTAAAATAAATTGTATTTTCTTGGATATGCATCTTATCTGGAGCACTGTACATGTTTTATCTATCTAATTTTTTCTGTGGGTGTATAAACTATTTTAGGTTTCTAAAGTTATTTTCCCCAAAATATATGGGTATATGAAGTTACATTTTGGTTGGTCGTGGTGTTTGAGACTTACTTTAGTTTCTTTCTTGTCATTTGTACAATCTTTCATACATAGATCTATATCCTTTATCCCTTCTCTTCCTCAGGTCTATTTGCTTCTTTCCTTCCTTTCCTTGTTGCCAGGATTTACAACTTTTTATTGGTCTTGACTGTCAATATTTGGTTGTTTTCTGAACTTTTTTTCCTTTTCCTCCTAGTTGTCGTGACTTTTCTCGTCTGATACAATTACTTATCTGATATTGTTTATAATATTCACTGCTGAGGGTGTACATGTTTTAGATTTGTTATTATTGTTATTATAAAACACTTATTTGCACTTACCAAAGATGATGCCAAGTGTTTCAGCAGTTAATGTGTTAAGATTTTCTATTACCTGATGGTCTTTGATGTATTACTTGATTTTTCTCTTTTTTTGCATTTTTTCTTACATTTCTGTCAGTTTCATAGGTTTTGCTCCAACTTGTAGACTTCAATTTCAATCTTTAAAGTTTCCATTTCTGAGAAAATACCTCACTTCTTTACACAGAATAACTGTGTCTGTTATGTATCTTGTCATCATCCACTCTGACAGTTACATGGCTGTTTCTTATATCAGCTGTCATGGGGCCACCTGCTTCAAGTCTTTTTTTTTGGGGGGGGGGCATTGGACCTCTTATTCTGAGCTTAATCCCATCAGGTTCATCTCATGGCCTGTTATGTGCCAAGGGCTTTGAACCTAGTGGTGTATAGCCTCTCTTGGCTGGGTATAGTTCTGCCTACAAGGTAGTCTTTCCATCCACAGGTTTTTTTTGTTGGGTGTGCTCTTGGTTGGACACACCCCTCATAGGTGCCTTTGCCACTGCTCTCAACTCCAAGCTTCCTCTCTTTTGGTTTCCAGTTCCTCATCCTTCAGCTTGGCTATCAGTGGTTTCAGCCAGGACTGGGCTCACCTTTTTTTGTATGCCTGTCCTTCTATTTGGGTCCTGACCTTGATATGTGACTCCTTGTTAGGTCCTCTTGGTGGGGGCCTCTTTGGCCAGCTCATCTCTGGTTTCATCTACTTCTTTGATTGGTTTCCAGATCCCTTCTTCCTTTTCCCAGTATCTCCCATCTGTTACTTCAACCTCACAAATCACATTTTCATCTTGGAATATCATCCCTTCATCTTCTCTGGTTGTGTAGCAGATTTTACATTGTTAGTCCATCAGCTGCTTCCTTTCTCACAGCTGTCTTACTGTGCCACACCTTTCTGTTTTATTTTTTTTAACTTGGTTGCTTGACTGTGGATGATCAGTCTTCGCCATTGCTGGTTATCTGGTGGCCTTGTCCATTACCTATGGTTTTCATGTTACAATAGGGTGTTTTCATCCCCTGTTCTACACTTTATGACCCTTTCTTCTTCATCAACCCCCTCCCACATGATATTTGTTTTATCCTATTTTAAAATCCAATGAATTTGGAATCAAGTGTTACACATGCCATTTCCTCCTTATCAAGTAACCATATAAACATTGAGCTTCCACAACCAAGGAGTGTACAAGTCATGAGTAAGTTGGCTAGAGATGTGACAGAATCACTAAACAGTGATGTCTGAATCAGTTCATGTCATACAGAGAAGACAATAAAATCAAATTGCAATAAAAAAGCATGCTTGTAAGGTTCAAACAGTTTGAGAAATCCAGCATCATTAGTGTGAAATGTACAGCTGGTTCATGAAAGAAATTATTTAATTGTTTTTATTTTATTTTTTAAACTTCCATCAGAGATGAAGGTTCTGTATAGTTTAACATTACATCCTAGTTAGTTCTTAATGTTTGTAAATTAATTAGTACATTTTTAATATTAATGGAATGCATTATTAAACAATTGGAACTACAGAACTAAGAATATTATAGTTGACCCATACATTTTTAGTTGATTACCGAAGTACAAGATCTAGGAGCCAGATACATCTAAGTATTTAGTTAGCTTTGAGCCTTGTTTAAGTTGATTTCTTCAGGTGAAATATTTTTATTTTCCAGCTTAAAACATTGTGGTGGTACAAGTGGTTGTATATCACTAGTTGCTTACTGCAGGTGTATGTCAGCATATATATACACACACACACACACACACACACACACACCTAGAAATGATATTTTATTTGCAATCATCAAATCATATGCTGTAATTTTTGAAGTGTAGTGTAGGTTATTTTACTTTGTTGATAATCTTTAAAAGAACCAATCTTTATTTTTGTTTTGTTTTTACAAGTAATAACAAGATTTTGTGTAGACCCATTTTCACTCTTTTTTCCAAAATGATGAGATCATCAATTTTCCCCAAACACTGTCAGACTTTTCAATAAAGGTCATAAAATTCCTAAAAAAATACCTGCTCAAATTTTGTATACATACACAAGGTTTTTAACATTTCTATGTATAATTAGAAATTTAAGAGTTGTTGCAGTAACTTTGAAAGCATTTAGACATCTACTTAGTTTCCCAAACAGTAGTATTGATGTTTAGGTGAAAGTACACATTATGATATTCCCAAATGCAAAACTTATTGCAGAGTTCATCAGATAAAATTAACTTGAGCATTACATAAGCTTACTAAAGTCTATGGTAAAAATTCCATTAAGAGTAAGTTTTGTTTTCTTTGCTTTCTGCAAATACAAATATTTAAACTGTATTTTAGTGTATACATTTTAAGTTAAGTTTGTATGTAAGTTAGTTTGTTTCATTCTCGAATTGGTGATTTTCCCAAAACCACATTCCCTATTTTTCTTCTTAAGGCTCAAAAATATTAAACAAAACTCAATAATTCACAAGAAGGTATATTTATATGTATGTATTTTTTTTTCTCAGTTTATGAAGATGACGAGGACCTGATTCCAAAAAACACCTCTGTTATAGTGGCACGAGTCCCAGTCACAACAGTGGGTAAAAAACAGTAAGTTAAATGTTTATTTTTTACAGTTAACTAACAATTCAGAAATTGCTTCAAAAGGAAAAATTTTTTCAGAAATTAATTTTGATAGTCTTTGTACTAACATTTTACAATTTATGATTTTTTAGAACCTTAATACTATAGTACAACCAGTTGTGTTACTGTAGTGTAATGAAGCTTATATCAACATATTTCTAGTGTTAAAAGAAGGTTAGCTATGTTAACAAGTTAAATTTAATCAGTTCTAAAAAACATTCATAGACACATTATCTTTGTTTATAATCTTGCAACAGTGCAATAATTCTGCAGTCTTTACATTCCCATATTCTTGCTGGAACGTACAGTATACTTATTTTGTAATGCACAACAATGTAAGATCATGTTTGTAATAAAAGCATTTAAAACGCATGTATTCAGAACTTTGGGTTTTGTTTCAGTGCTGTTGATTGCCAGGCTTTAATCAAGGAACTTCATCATAAGGGTTTGCACAAGCTTGGTCTTAAAAATTTTCATACAATTTTTTTATTAATGCGTGTTGTGAAAAGTCTTTGAAAAATTTTAGGTTTTAAATTACTTCAACCTCTGTAAGATGAAAAAATAATAATTCTAGTGTCTACAGTGTCAATATAACTGAATTGTTTTATGAGAAATCTTACAGTTTGCATACCTTAATCAAGATGTTATCAATTTTATCTGCTGCTAAATATCAGAATTAATATGGAAAAGGTCTTGAAAAATTAAGATTTGGTGTAGGAAAGGTTGTGGGATTTGACAGTATATGCTGCAGGAACCCTATTCATGTAAAATAACCTCATTTTTATCTAAGCTTGACTGCTGGAACACTAACATTAAGCTTCATATTGCAACATTTTGGGTTTTGTGCCAAAGAAGGGCTAAGTGTAGAAACCCAAATGTTATCTGTAAGAAGAAAAACCTATACAGGAAAAGTCCATTAACTCTTTGACCACATTCTGGGTGGACTCCACCCAGCCCATTTTCATCAAAGTAACCAAAAACCAGTTATACTGTAACTTATTAAAATGTAAGCATATCTTTATGAAATTTTGCAGATTATCAGCAAACCTTACAATGCTTTTGTGCACAAAATATCAAAGTTTTAAATTAAGTCTTAAGATTTTTTAAATAATGAAGTGCTCATGCATTTTTTTCTTTTCCAATGTTGACTTTTATGCATCAGAAAATTGTCAGATTCCACATGTGAAACCTCTATAACCTCCAAATAATTATCAAACATTTTTTTTAGAAAATCTTTATATTTTATGTGTTATTTTCTCTAATCTCTGTTCTGGTTTGTTCAATTTGTCCGACCTCATAACCACCATAAAAAATTAGGAAATAGATATAAATTATGGTTTTGTTCTAGAATTACTACAAATTATAACACATAACCACAAATGTTTATTCTAGATAAATTAAATTTTGTAACATTATACATCTTCATATATTTATTATTTTTATTTTATTGACCTTTCAGCCATGTATGACTAACGTTACACAAGTTGCATGCAGGAACCTGCTGCTTATATTATTGCATGGAATAGTATAAAACTGGCTTGGTTCAAAGGGCAATAAGACTAAAATTTAAGCATTAATAGATGTATACTGTTACAAGCTTTAAGTTACTTAGGATAAACAGTTTTGATTTTCTGTTACAATTTGCAGTCATTCCAGAAAGAAAGTAGGAGAAATTTCTTAATTTTTTTATGGTGGTTACAAGGTTGGTCGAGTGAACTGACCTCATATAGAGTTAGGGTAAAAAAATTAATAGATAAAATATTGTTTGGTCACATGGTCAGTGTTATGATCTCTATTTTAAGAAATGTTTGAACCAAAGCTCTTTATTCATTTACATGTTGACCACATTTATGGAATGTTTGAAGTCAGTGGTGGAAAATTTAGTAAAAAAGCACTAGTAACTATGTGTACACACATTTATACACTCGCTGAGTGATTTATTGTATTCATAATTATATAAAGAATGTTACATAATAAGTGGTCTTGACTGTGTACATGTAAAAGCAGTGGCTATTACCTTACGTTCATTAGCAAGGAATTTGCTTGTACAATTTCATATGAAATTAAAATTGGTGTTGAATCTTCATGCTATATACAAATGTGTGTGCTTTATTTTGTTTTTTTATCTGTGCAGTATCAGTAAGTAAGTAAAATTTTCACTTTTCTTTAGAGGTAATATGAAGTACAACCTTAGATTTATTAATCTGGCTTTCTCAGGAAGCTGTCAATAGATTATTGTTCCGAGCATTGAATCTGCTCAACTCTCATATCATAGAATTCTCCTTGATTAATGGCTTTCACCATGGGGAGTAAGCAATGGCATTATAAGATTTATGTAGAGCAGAATCTGCTCTTTCTATTTGTTATACACATTTTCCTCAGCTATTTATGGTTGATTAGCAAACAATGTGGAAAGTATGAGAGATGGGAGGGTGGCTTTTATATCTTGCCAAATCAAGAAGGTAGGAGGTTCAAATTTTAGATTAGTGGATGTAATTATTCATAATTTGTGTTTCTTAGTAGTTGGAAACTCTAAATCAACGATTAAAGTTATAAAATTTCTGAAATTGAGAAATCTGAGCTCAGATATATCACGTGACACAAGTTTTGCGAAGTTTATTGATTCATGTTGATAATAAAGTTCAAATTTTAAATGTAACACTCTTAAAGGTTGGGATATGCTAAAAAGAGCTAGGTCCATATACACACAATTAAGCTGAATAGACTCGATTGAATAGAAAATAACGAGAAATCATGAAAGCAATATTTTGACCACTGGGGAATAAACAGAAAACAGTAATTAATGGATACTTTAGATTGGATAAGTTGGTCATTTTCATAACATTAACTGATATAATAAATTCCCTCTGTAATCAAGCAACTGAGGTTATCACCCAGCTCTAAGTAAGGTAGTGAGATACTTTTAAATACCTACCCATCTCATAGGTCTATCAACTAAAATTGATTTATTGTGCTTCCAGGTGAATTAGACTTGACATAAGTTCTTGAATTATTCTGGAGAGAATAGATCTAACACAGATGACTAAGGAAAGAAACGTACATAACTGATGAACAGATAAAATGTTATTCACACCAATTGTAAGTCTTTATAGACACTGGCTGGCATATTGTTGATTTTATTTCTGTTATGTACAGAGGATTGAGGACATTAATCTGATAGCAACCACTATTCACTTTGATCTTTGTATCTATTCTACTTTTCCTGTAACCTATCCTTGGTACAGCAGTGATCATGAAGTATTTTGAAAAAGTTTTGCAACATGCTATATATATATATATATATACCCAGTTTGGAGTTTTTTTTTGTTTTTTTTTTTCACCCAGTGATCAGTAGAAAATGGCACAAGACTTGTTACAGTTACAAAGTAACAAGCTTTGTTGAATCTCGCTGTTTTAGGTACTTTGGTATAGTTTTTTGGAGTTGGTTTTCTTTTCATGGTTATATTGTGGAAAACAATTTGTGTACACTGACTTGTGTCACCTTTCCACACATGTATGGCTTTTGCTATTGAATGTTTTTTTCATGGATTCTCACCTATTACAAGACATCACACTTTATTTACCATCCCTGAGATAAGAATTGCTTCAGGTCTTTTCTGGATAGTCCTTATGCCTCACGTAAATCCATATTCCTTTGTTTTCCAGTCTTATTAACTATAAGGGATATCTCTCTCTCCTGGAAATTCTAAATTCCTGATCTGAGTGTATAAATATTTTGTGTTGAAAAGGACTTATATAATCTTTCCAAAAGCGATAATAATTTTCAGTGGCATCACACTACTTACAAAACTCTAAACAGTGTCAAAGTGTAGTTCTAATACGTTTCTTTCCAGTGCAGTTTTATATTGGCTGCAGTTTTGACATGATTTCTTGCACCCAGTCCTTTGTACAATTGGATTAGCTTAACAGTAGTTTAGTCTACTTGCTTTCTCTGAAGCAAATTAATGTGTCCATACTTATCTTGGCTCAAATTATGTTTTTGAGTTTGAACCCCAAATTTACCTTTCACATTACATATTGACCAACAAATTTTTAAACGTAAAAATGACCTTGAAACTGTTATGTTTTTGATAAAATCAGTCTTAGTGAAACATGTTTTCATTTATTTGACTTACGTGAAAACAATAGGGGATTACTGCATATTGTTTTTATGGTTAAACCATCCGTTAATCTTATTTTGTTACTATTTGTCCCCCACTTCACAGATAACCCACTTGTCTTTCAGCCATATTGGCATTATTCACAGTTTTATAATGACACATGAGAATAATTTAATTTTTTTTTTAAGTTTACTTGGGACACTTGACATGTTTTGAATTGTTAATAGGTCAAGATCTGAAATTTGACTGGTTTGATAAGTAAACAACTTTATGTGATCCTGTCTGCTGTCTAACCAGTATGCAGAATTGCTGGGTTTCGTGTAATGTCACAAGGAAGTTGTGTATCTTTATGAAATAGCAATTCAACAAGGCTGCAACAGTCGCTGTTAAAATAATCTGTATTTGGGTTTGATTATCAATAAACAGTTCATGTTTTCTGGGATAAATACTCTTGTATTTCTTGAGTGGTAAAGCTTGCTTCTCCCTTCAGACTCTGAGCAGCAGACGGTAAAAAATAACTAGTAATTGCATGTTTCTGTCTCCAATTTAAAGCCTTTCTTTCTGAGGAAATCTTTTTATGGGTTCTCGAAAAGTGTCTATTATCCACTAATAAATTAAATATATATAGAATCTGACCTTTTTAGTACTTTTTTTTCAATATCAAAATCCACTAGTCGTGCTATTGCTTGGTGATGTACGCATGCGTGGTGCTAAGGTGGGAAATTGAAGGACGTATGAGTATCCTGATTGTCACACTTGTCACACCAAACTGCTATAAATGTCAAGTCTGATAAATCCAATTATAGCATCCAAGGGGTTAACACATTTTTTGTGTTTGGAAACTCATCTCACAAAAATGATACATTTTGAACATCTTTTCATGCTAAAATTTGAATTTTGTGTGTGTTCAATATTCTTTGTTCCAGTAATAACTAAAGAATTAAAAAAAAATGTTTTTTCATTGGTAGTTTATGCTAAGTTTCATAACTTCTTTAAAAATTACAACTTTTAAATATTATGTAGAAAATAATAATTTTTAGACTGGTCAAGATATTGTTAAAAGTTTTTGTGCACCAGGAGTATACTTGATTTGAGCTATTTTTGTTCTACTATTAGTAAAACTGAAATGGATGTAAAGAAAAATGATTTGTTCTCTTTTTTTTACTTGTAGGGAAAGAAGTGATGTTGATATACCCCTCCAGGATGTATGTACTCGCGTGAGAGTTCTTTCTATTTCTAAATTTATTTATAAGTACTTAATGATGGTCAGTTTATAGCAACTATTTTATAAATGTGTGTACGTCTCCAAACAAATGGAAAACTGTATTTCTTAATACTTAGTAATATGTGACTTAACATATTCTAGTGCCAGTCCCTATTTTACTGAAAGTTTTTGACTAAAATGAATATAAGTATATATATATATATATATTGATGATTATCTTTTTAGAGTGTACAGATATTTTTCCTTTTTATTTTTTAGACATTTCTTAATGCTGCAATAACCTTAATAAAATACTAGAATTTAACGTATACGATATGACGTTTTGCATATCTGGTGATTAATAATATTAATTGATGTGAGAAAGGTTAGTTGAAGATGAAATTGTATGTTATGTTATTTGACGTTGGTCTTGTGTTTTTGTATATAAATGTTTTACATACCATAGACAACTTGAAGGTGCATAGATTGGTCATGTATGTTGGTTATCACATCACCATGTCCAAGAAAGACAAACAAAAGTTTAATTGAAAACTGATGTACTGCATTTTTATTATTATATATTCTTAACCATGGAATTTGTCTTCAGATTGCCCCAGTCTTTGTTTGTAATTAAAATTGTATATAGTATTTATTTTAATCAAGTGTAACAAAGGACAAAGCTGTAAATTAGAAACAGTCAATGTGTACACCATTTGAAGTTTGTATAATATAAAATGTATAAGTGGATGGTGTATATATTTATTTTGTGGGTACCAAATGTTTTACTAAGTGTATCCAGCAACATAGGGATGTGAAGATGCATATTTAGATAACAATAACTTCATTAACATGTTTTGTTTTCCTTGTTATATTGTAGTATTTTTTTCTTAACCATGTTATAACAGAAAAAAAAACAACTAATTATTGTAACAAAAATACTGAAAATAAGGCTAATCCTAAACATAAATTATGTTTATGTTGAATGTGTTGAATATTTTACTACTTAAACACCTTGTTAAGTTCTACTTATTTAAAACCAGTAAAATGTGTAATGAATGCTGGAATGACTGAAGTAGACAAACAAAAGCCCATACTTACAAGTATGTATAAAGGGTTTAAGGGTATTAAAAGTAAAAGGAAGCCACCATTAGTTGACAGAAATATAGGGAGATTAGAATTAACCCTAACTGGACCACAGAGCAACTTTCTAGCGTTGATTGCACACCTCCATATCATTTTAAAATTTAAGTAAAAGTAATAATTCTGATTACTTTTCAACACAATTTCAAACAAAAAAAATGTTTTAGAATTGATATTTGTCATTGTGAAACGTTTAATGGGGGTAATTCACAAATATATAATTTAGTATAATGTTCCAACTGTCATTTCTGCACGGTCCGAAATAGTCTTGATTGTTAACAACACATTTTACAATTTTATTTGCTGACCATTCCAAGGCATAGATATATACCTGCTAAGAAACTATTTTATCGTCAGAAGTAAATTATCGGTATCATGTTTCTCTTCTGAACTCCCTTCTCTCTGGTTTTGTTACTACAGCCACCCTTTCATCATGTCCCAGCATGTAGTCTAAACAATTTATATGAAACACAGTTTGGAAAATACATACCTGCAGTTTAAACACAATTAGATAGAGAAGATTAAAACTAGTTATGTCAGTGTACAGTTTGAATAGTAATTTATAGTTGTTTTAGAAAGTGAATAGCCAGAACTTGTGTAAGCGTGAACAGAGAAATTTAATAGAAAATATAGAAATCTTAGAAACAAACCAAAGATTTGGGAATTTTTGTTTTTATAGGTGTACAAACAAAATCTTTCCTGTTTTAATTACATTTGTTTGGGAGCTACAGAATTTTTTTATCTGATGAGACATCTAATAAACTTAGTTAGGTTCAGTGAGTATTGTATGTGGCAGCAAAATATGTTGATTACTTAAATTCTTAATTGTTGAATGTTGCTGTTCCAACAATGTGTGCAAAAAAAAAATAACATGTTATTTATTTAAAAGAAACTTTTTATTAAAATCAGAATACCTATCCTGACAAAGGTAATAATGATGAAGTTTTAAAAGTTAAGGTCCATTTGTAACCAGAAGTGGCAATTACTGCAATCGTGAAAATATATTAACAAAGGAATATGATGTTAATGAACATCAGTCACATTGAAACTCACTGGATATATATAACATTAAATTTTATGATCAACAATGAAAAAAAAAATTTCAAGTATAAGATGAAAGGAAGAATTCTAAACGTATTCTCAGAATGATGTCTCACAAAATATTTTTTTGTTGAAACTACTTACTACTTAGTAAGTTACTAAGTTTCGTGTGATTTTATTAAGTATTTATTTACACTATGAGAAGGAAAAATTCAAGGGTTATCAGCGATGCTTCTTTGGTCCAGAAAGGGTAAAACTACACTCAAGTTGAAATAGCTCATCAAAACTAACCAATTTACAATGAATGGGACAAATTTCCATACATTGATTTTAATAAAAAAATATAGATGAATATATTTTAAGTTTTTTTGTGGGAGGGGGGCATAATGTATTATGTTTTTTCACAGCAAAAAAAAAGAGGACTAATCAGCTTTTATATCCAGATATACAAAATTTTCAGAAGTTGATCTCTAGTTCCTGAATATAGAATTATACACATTTTTTAAGAAATTTGCAAAATAATTTTTTGATCACTATACATGGATACACAGTTTAGGACGTGAAAACTAGCCACATTAAATAGCAGTAATAATACACTTGTTAGTTGCACTAATTAAGATTATTTTCATATAATTAAGAAAAATGAACTTATTTATTATTGTTTTTAAGGATAATCACATTTATAATTACTTTGTTACTATTGGTGACAAGAGTTCAGAATTTTTGCAAATAGGTAGTCTGCATTAGTCTTAAAGATTTTGATTTGGTGATTGAACTTAAAAATTAATTTGACAACTCTTTATGTTGTATACCTTAGTTTTGGTATATTTTGTTATTCTAAAATGGTTTATGTGAAACTTTACATAACTTTCTTTTTTAGATATATATATATATATATATATTGCAAAAACTGTATGTAGTGAAAAATGTTTTAATTGTTAAATATGCAACTGTTTTTAATAAACTTATTGGCAGGCTATTAGTGTACAGGAACTATTTTACTAGGCTTCTTCATGCTGGTGTTTAATTTGGTGTGTAATGATAAGAAGTATAGAACAGTGCCATATTTCTTAGTTATAATTTTTTGTTTAGAAATCCAAGAAACAATACACCTTGTACCTGAAATATTCAATGCCATTTAATATATAAAATGAGAAAATACAGTATTATTTATTGTAGATATGTCTTTAAAATATTTTCTAAAAGAAAAAATTTTAATAGCAGGGTCCTGCTCTGGTTAACTGATTTGTGATGACTAGTTGTTTTTATACATGTATATATTGATTGTTTGTGTACTAAGCTTTACCAAACATATCGACTAATACAGTTATTAAAAAGTACTTTGTTGGAGATAACGTAATGTGCATATTTTTGTATATCCAGGAATTTACTTTTTTTAACTTCTTGTTTTTTATTGCAAAAACATAATGGTTTGATTACTGTGTAATTTCTAATAAAGTCAAATAAAAGTGCTTTTAAAAGCACTAGTGTTTTCTTTGTGTTTGAAAGCACTTTCAGTATGCAACACTTTGATCACATGTGGCTTCACCTTGCTAATCCACAGTTCTTCAGTTATTTTGGCAGAATAAGCAATCAGTCTAGATCCCAAGACTTACCATTATTATATAGTAACCTACCATTTTATACACAGTTAAATCATTGATAGAAATGTGTTTATAGTTGGAAGTTTGGTAGTACATCACAAGACCTAGTATCTTTTCAATGGGTGTAATCTTAATGCTTAAAGCAAAACATCAGTTGCTCACTTGATGACTGTGGTTAAAAAAAAAGAGTTGCAAGTCTATAATGTCTGTCACTAGTTCTTTGCTTAAGTTGAATTTGGTACGAAATTTTCATTCACCACTAATAATAAAAAATTGTATAATGTTAAATATTAGGCTTTTGAATTTATACCAGAATATTTTTAGTGAAGATTGACAGCCATTTAAGAGATCACTTAATGCAGAGGTAGAAAATAAATTTTTTCCTAGCAATTTCTGTGATACCAAATGTTTGTGATCTGGTATCGTAAAACTTTTTTCTTAAGATAAAGAAAAACTTGATTGAATTGCAGTGAGAAAGTTCCTGCAATTACATGACTCTTATTATACTTTACATGTGAATTTCACTCATTTACTTTTTTCTACTATGCACCATCTTATGTGTTCATTAGACTTAACAGACCCAAACTAGGTCAGTACTTCAGAAACTTGAGATTTCTGGGATTAAGTCATAAGCTGAATTAATGCACAGATTTAGATATGCAAAACAGCACAGTTCTGACAAATAGCAAAAAAAAAGGAAATAGATTAGATCATATGAACATTGTACCATGAAATATAAACTTTCACCATCTATCAGAGTTTGTATAACATATCTTAATATCTTGCATTGTTAAAGATTGAACAAAAACACAAGTTATTCTCACTGATAAACACTGTTATGAACTTTCCATCATCACACACATACTGTTTCACCAACTCTGTTTGAATTGATTGCTTTATGATAAACACTGAATTTTACAGTAGATTTCAAAAGACCAAGAAACCGAAGTAGTCGTTGACTAATCTTCTGGAGTAAAAAAAGGTCGTGATTAAAGAGTGTTGGGTGATAAATATGGAAAATACAAGTACACTTCATGTGAGCAGAAAGTGTATGTAAAGGTGATCATGAAAGCTGACCAATCCCAATTGAAGAAAGATGTGACATCAAGCAATAGAAATGCACCAACTTGATAAACAGTTCATGCTCATGTGATGTGCACTTTTTCATACTTATAACCCCATGCTCTCTATCCTTTACTGTTTTTTTGCCTGAATA